AGCTCCACCGAAGGCTCCAGTGGGACCGCCCGCATGCGTCATCCACCACCCAGTACAGCGTTTCGTGGCCCCATAGAGGGCTCCACCGAAGGCCCCAGTGGAACCGCCCGCATGCGTCATCCACTACCAAGTACAGCGTTTCGTGGCCCCATAGGGGGCTCCACCGAAGGGAACGCCCCAGTGGGACCGCCCGCATGCGTCATCCACCACCCAGTACAGCGTTTCGTGTCCCCACAGGGAGCTCCACCTAAGGTTTGCGTGGCGGAACTCGCATGGCGACCCAGTGGCGGAGTTCGCATGGCGGCGAGTTTCGGCTTCCGGAGGTTTGTCGTCGTATTCGGCGTGTTGACGCCGCTTTCGGGCCGCGCATCCCGGGCGGGAGCCAGCCTGCTTGCTCTTTCTCTGCTCCGCGCAGCGGACGACCCGCGCGCGTCGCCGGGACCCCTTCGGGGCGACCAGCGCGCGCCGCGGGGACTCCGTGCGGCGCCGCGCCCGCAGCCTTGGACGTGGGCGTGCACGGGCAAAGAGGGAGAAGAAGAACGGGAAGGAAGTGGGCGCGATCCTCGTGAGAGGCGCGCCGACGTGGGCGTCGACATTTATGCACGTAGACTCCGCGCGCGCAGACTCATCCACTATCAGACTCACTCGCTCTCAGTCTCTCGCACACAGACCTATCGTCTTCGCTCGCGTTGTGTGCCTCGCCACGCATGTCGGCACGCCCCTCACACGGTTCGTGGCCCCATAGGGAGCGCGGGCGAAGATGATATTCATATTTGCGGCGTTCGCAGCTACATATGGTTGGGTCCTTCGCCAGGCTAATTTGACGGCCCTGGGGCCCGAAGCGGAACTCCAGAGGCCCAGCGTGGCGAATTCAGGCCGCCCATAATTCCCAACCCTCCTGCGTTGGGTTCTCGTTTTGAATAGAGCACCGCTCGCGCGTCTCCTTCCCGCCCCCTCCCGTCCCTCTCTTCCCCCTTGCCTTTTGCCTCGCTCGTCGCTGCGTGCCAGCTGGGGGGCTGCGATATGTGAAGCTGTCGCCACTTTCGAGGCCTGCTGGGGGGCCCAGCACAGTGTGCACCCGCGGCGGATTCAAATGGGACCTCGCCATCCCAGGGGGGCTGCGATCTGTGAAACTGTCGCCACTTTCGAGGCCTGCTGGGGGGCCCAGCACAGTGTGCACCCACGGCGGATTCAAATGGGACCTCGCCATCCCTGGGGGGCTGCGATATGTGAAACTGTCGCCAGTTTCTTACCTCGCTCGTCGCTGCGTTTCGAGGGCTGCTGGGGGCTGCGATCTGTGAAACTGTCGCCACTTTCGAGGGCTGCTGAGCTTGTCCCAAGTAGCTTACAGATCAAACAACGGATCCTGCAATTTGATTGTCCGTGCAAGTTTCGGCCAACTTTTCGTTTCCCATGATACAAATGGGTTGGGTACGTCACAGGGTCATTTGTTTTTTCGAGCCGCAGGACGTTTGGGTCCCTGGAGGCCCCTCGCAGGTCCCCAGAGGCGTCTGGAGACTTCCGGGGGCTGAATACACACCGGTCGTTCAAACAGGTGGGTGCTTTTGTATTCGCAGATCCTGATCTACTTCAGGCGTTTTCTTACTTCAACCAACGAACGTCTATCCTTTTTCCGTCGTCTTGAGAGGGCGGGCGGGAACCCAATCTACTTCCACTGCCTACCTACTTCATGCTTCTACCCACTTCTTCCGACCGATGGGTATCTTATTTCCCGAAGGGCATTTTTTTGGTCCGCTGGCGCAAGCGAGCAGGCGTCGGTCGAGCAAACGGCGGGGCGCACTGGAACGAATTGAGGCACGAAAGCGCGGGAACAGGGGTATCGGTGCTTCTTGGTTTCTCCAGAGTGGTGGGGGTAGCGCAAGATGGCGATCGTGAAGTATCCCAGTGCGGGGCGGCGTCCCGCGTTGGCGGCGATCCCCCCCTCCCCTCCCCCCTCCTCTTTCCTCGCATCGCTAGAGAATCATGACTGGAGCTTCTGAGAAGGCTCGGTAAGCTTGAGGCCTTCTGAGCCTTCTGAGAAGACCCGCCCCCCCTGCTGATAGTTTGCGGGTCAGAGCTCGGGTCTCTGGAGGCCGTTCGGGTTGATCCGGGCACTTCCGGAATGCTCTCGCCGAGGCGCAGCCACTGGAAAACACCCCGAGGTCGAACACCCGCCGAGAGCCAACGACAGTGAGCAAACACCTCGAACTTTGAGCCCCGCGAAGGCCTTCCCCCTCCTCGGCGCGCCGCCGACTCTTGGCGCTCCTTCTCCCTTGTCGGGGGTTTTCGTAGAGAGGGGGTTGACCAATGTGGGGTTAGGGAACGAGACCAGCTGGATGCTCACACTTTCTTGTTCCGGGAGCCGTTCAGAGCAATTTTCCGATCACCCCACCTCTGCCCCTGTCCCACCTTTCCGCCCCCCCGACGCTGGGCACCCCGCCAACTCCAGGTTCCCCTTCCCCTACGCGCAGACATGCGACGCGCTGCTCGTGACGCACAG